ACCCGAGGCTGCGGCTAGACATTGACCCGAGGAATCGATTGCGACCCTTATTTTAGCGATCAGACGAACCCTTGAGGCACTTTTGACGCGCCCCTTCCTTTAAGGGCCGATTAAGGGGTAAGGGGTAAGCCGCACACATCTGGAACCCGAGGCTGCGGCTAGATATTGACCCGAGGAATCGATTGCGACCCTTATTTTGGCGATCAGACGAACCCTTGAGGCACTTTTGACGCGCCCCTTCCTTTAAGGGCCGATTAAGGGGTAAGGGGTAAGTTGCACACATCTGGAACCCGAGGCTGCGGCTAGATATTGACCCGAGGAATCGATTGCGACCCTTATTTTGGCGATCAGACGAACCCTTGAGGCACTTTTGACGCGCCCCTTCCTTTAAGGGCCGATTAAGGGGTAAGGGGTAAGTTGCACACATCTGGAACCCGAGGCTGCGGCTAGATATTGACCCGAGAAATCGATTGCGACCCTTATTTTGGCGAGCAGACGAACCCTTGAGGCACTTTTGACGCGCCCCGTCCTTTAAGGGCCGATTAAGGGGTAAGGGGTAAGTTGCACACATCTGAAACCCGAGGCTGCGGCTAGATATTGACCCGAGGATATTAAGGGGTAATTGCGACTCTTATTTTGGCGATCAGACGAACCCTTGAGGCACTTTTGACGCGCCCCTTCCTTTGAGGGCCGATTAAGGGGTAAGGGGTAAGTTGCACACATCTGGAACCCGAGGCTGCGGCTAGATATTGACCCGGGGAATCGATTGCGACCCTTATTTTGGCGATCAGACGAACCCTTGAGGCACTTTTGACGCGCCCCGTCCTTTAAGGGCCGATTAAGGGGTAAGGGGTAAGTTGCACACATCTGGAACCCGAGGCTGCGGCTAGATATTGACCCGAGGAATCGATTGCGACCCTTATTTTGGCGATCAGACGAACCCTTGAGGCACTTTGACGCGCCCCTTCCTTTAAGGGCCGATTAAGGGTTAAGGGGTAAGTTGCACACATCTGGAACCCGAGGCTGCGGCTAGATATTGACCCGAGGAATCGATTGCGACCCTTATTTTGGCGATCAGACGAACCCTTGAGGCACTTTTGACGCGCCCCTTCCTTTAAGGGCCGATTAAGGGGTAAGGGGTAAGTTGCACACATCTGGAACCCGAGGCTGCGGCTAGATATTGACCCGAGAAATCGATTGCGACCCTTATTTTGGCGATCAGACGAACCCTTGAGGCACTTTTGACGCGCCCCGTCCTTTAAGGGCCGATTAAGGGGTAAGGGGTAAGTTGCACACATCTGGAACCCGAGGCTGCGGCTAGATATTGACCCGAGGAATCGATTGCGACCCTTATTTTGGCGATCAGACGAACCCTTGAGGCACTTTTGACGCGCCCCGTCCTTTAAGGGCCGATTAAGGGGTAAGGGGTAAGTTGCAAGCATCTGGAACCCGAGGCTGCGGCTAGATATTGACCCGAGGAATCGATTGCGACCCTTATTTTGGCGATCAGACGAACCCTTGAGGCACTTTTGACGCGCCCCTTCCTTTGAGGGCCGATTAAGGGGTAAGGGGTAAGTTGAACACATCTGGAACCCGAGGCTGCGGCTAGATATTGACCCGAGGAATCGATTGCGACCTTTATTTTGGCGATCAGACGAACCCTTGAGGCACTTTTGACGCGCCCCGTCCTTTAAGGGCCGATTAAGGGGTAAGGGGTAAGTTGCACACATCTGGAACCCGAGGCTGCGGCTAGATATTGACCCGAGGAATCGATTGCGACCCTTATTTTGGCGATCAGACGAACCCTTGAAGCACTTTTGACGCGCCCCTTCCTTTAAGGGCCGATTAAGGGGTAAGGGGTAAGTTGCACACATCTGGAACCCGAGACTGCGGCTAGATATTGACCCGAGGAATCGATTGCGACCCCTATTTTGGCGATCAGACGAACCCTTGAGGCACTTTTGACGCGCCCCGTCCTTTAAGGGCCGATTAAGGGGTAAGGGGTAAGTTGCACACATCTGGAACCCGACACTGCGGCTAGATATTGACCCGAGGAATCGATTGCGACCTTTATTTTGGCGATCAGACGAACCCTTGAGGCACTTTTGACGCGCCCCGTCCTTTAAGGGCCGATTAAGGGGTAAGGGGTAAGTTGCACACATCTGGAACCCGAGGCTGCGGCTAGATAATGACCCGAGGAATCGATTGCGACCCTTATTTTGGCGATCAGACGAACCCTTGAGGCACTTTTGACGCGCCCCGTCATTTAAGGGCCGATTAAGGGGTAAGGGGTAAGTTGCACACATCTGCAACCCGAGGCTGCGGCTAGATATTGACCCGGGGAATCGATTGCGATCCTTATTTTGGCGATCAGAGGAACCCTTAAGGCACTTTTGACGCGCCCCTTCCTTTAAGGGACGATTAAGGGGTAAGGGGTAAGTTGCAAACATCTGGAACCCGAGGCTGCGGCTAGATATTGACCCGAGGAATCGATTGCGACCCTTATTTTGGCGATCAGACGAACCCTTGAGGCACTTTTGACGCGCCCCTTCCTTTAAGGGCCGATTAAGGGGTAAGGGGTAAGTTACACACATCTGGAACCCGAGGCTGCGGCTAGATATTGACCCGAGGAATCGATTGCGACCCTTATTTTGGCGATCAGACGAACCCTTGAGGCACTTTTGACGCGCCCCGTCCTTTAAGGGTCGATTAAGGGGTAAGGGATAAGTTGCACACATCTGGAACCCGAGGCTGCGGCTAGATATTGACCCGAGGAATCGATTGCGACCCTTATGTTGGCGATCAGACGAACCCTTGAGGCACTTTTGACGCACCCCGTCCTTTAAGGGCCGATTAAGGGGTAAGGGGTAAGTTGCACACATCTGGAACCCGAGGCTGCGGCTAGATATTGACCCGGGGAATCGATTGCAACCCTTATTTTGGCGATCAGACGAACCCTTGAGGCACTTTTGACGCGCCCCTTCCTTTAAGGGCCGAATAAGGGGTAAGGGGTAAGTTGCACACATCTGGTATCCGAGGCTGCGGCTAGATATTGACCCGAGGAATCGATTGCGACCCTTATTTTGGCGATCAGACGAACGCTTGAGGCACTTTTGACGCGCCCCTTCCTTTAAGGGCCGATTTAGGGGTAAGGGGTAAGTTGCACACATCTGGAACCCGAGGCTGCGGCTAGATATTGACCCGGGGAATCGATTGCGACCCTTATTTTGGCGATCAGACGAACCCTTGAGGCACTTTTGACGCGCCCCTTCCTTTGAGGGCCGATTAAGGGGTAAGGGGTAAGTTGCACACATCTGGAACCCGAGGCTGCGGCTAGATATTGACCCGAGGAATCGATTGCGACCCTTATTTTGGCGATCAGACGAACCCTTGAGGCACTTTTGACGCGCCCCTTCCTTTGAGGGCCGATTAAGGGGTAAGGGGTAAGTTGCACACATCTGGAACCCGAGGCTGCGGCTAGATATTGACCCGGGGAATCGATTACGACCTTTATTTTGGCGATCAGACGAACCCTTGAGGCACTTTTGACGCGCCCCGTCCTTTAAGGGCCGATTAAGGGGTAAGGGGTAAGTTGCACACATCTGGAACCCGAGGCTGCGGCTAGATATTGACCCGAGGAATCGATTGCGACCCTTATTTTGGCGATCAGACGAACCCTTGAGGCACTTTTGACGCGCCCCTTCCTTTAAGGGCCGATTAAGGGGTAAGGGGTAAGTTGCACACATCTGGAACCCGAGGCTGCGGCTAGATATTGACCCGAGGAATCGATTGCGACCCTTATTTTGGCGATCAGACGAACCCTTGAGGCTTTTTTGACGCGCCCCTTCCTTTAAGGGCCGATTAAGGGGTAAGGGGCAAGAGCTAGGGCCAAATAAAGGTCATATTCTTGCTCCCCGTCCCCCAATTGACCTTTTTTTTATAAATTTTTTATTACTAAGATCATCAACTCATATGCATTAAAAACACATCTTAAACCTAAATACACCTAAAACACACATAAAACCATCCACATAAACACGACTTTCCTCCCTACGCACTACCTACGTAAGAACGCAGCCAGTACCCATGCAACCTAATCACTGCACGTTGCACAATACATTCTCGACACTTTACAGTTCCAATTGGAGGCCGTCTGACATAAATGGCCTCCATGCGTCTCTGAATGCCTCTAGGTTATCATTCCATTTCGCCGCACATTTTTCTACCTCGAACATTTTACAAATATATCTCAAAAAGCCATCCAACCTCACATCACCATTCCAAAATTTCTGATGAGAAATGAACTGCTTGGCATACAATATAACCATATTGAGCGACCTTGGACCCATCAGGCATCCAAATAATACAGTCGTGCTGCCAGATTGCAGATGAACACGTCTCCTAACCTTGTTACTGATAGCATCCGAAAGCCTATCCCAGAAAGCACTCAAATGCGGACACGTCACGAAATAATGCTGCAGATCGTCTACCTCACCGCACTCGTCGCAAAAGAATCCCCCCCCCCCAATTGACCTAATATGAGTTTTTTAAGCGATTCTGAATCCGATGCTGTATTCGTTGCTGTTGCTGACGCTAACTTCACGGACATGTTTCTGGCGACTTTATTTTAGAAGTGCGGCGTTTGCGGCAGATGTTGCGCGCAAATAGCATATACCACCGCGTGCTACAAAACGTTTTAGTCAAACATTTAAAAATCGTTAGATATCTGCGCTGACGTCACACATTCAGAGGGGTATTCCTAAGCATTAGCCCCTCTGAATCAAAATGCTGCAATTTTGAAATTCAATATTTCCGATTTAAGGCATTTCTCGATGTTGTAAGTGCCGAAACCGGTAATTGTGAGCCAGGGACCCCATTTTGGCTATCTCAACTCAAATCTAATGTTAAGGTGGGAGGGTCCCTTTAATCGGACAGAAATAAGGGCACCGGTATCATTCGTCGAGCGAACGCCTCAGCAAAGCTGATGAGTCACGACTCACGAGTCACGATGAATGAGGCACTTAGATTTGGTGTTCTACACAATAAAAAACCAGATCATGAGCTTTAACTGGAAACAACTGGAAAATAGAAATAGCAAAAGACAGCCGAATGCTATTAAAACTTTTACTTGCCAACCGGCAAGTCAAGATTGGATGGGCGCCAGCGGCAAAGCTTTGCCTAAATACTTGTACAAATATTTGCTAGCCACGTGCTAAGAGATATCAATGCAGTTCTGGCGCACGAGCTTCAAAAAACTGCGCACATTTGCTTTCAATTGTGTTCTTTAGCGTCTACGCACAGGACGAATCCGAGCCATATTTTTCTATTTGATGAATTTTGAGCAGATTATTGTACATGAATAGGTATAGTTATTTAAAAATTACCATTATGTGCATCTTAAAACAATTTTATTCGTATTGGAAGACTATTTTATAAGAATCCAAACGACATTTGACAGCTTGCACAAGTCAAACACATGATCCACTTCAGTAGAACACAGTTAAACAAATAGGGTCGCAAACGGCGCAAATATCAAATTTTACGAATGCTTGAAAGTGGCTTGAAAGAAATCAAATTATTGTAATGTGCTGCGTCTCTGATCTTTTCAGCTTGTTTGATAACTTTTGTAAATGTATTTTTGATTTGAAGATGCCGATTGAATGATGCTTTTAACAAATTTGAACTTTGTAAGTGTCTGATTTTCAAATTTTCACTTCAAAGCACTAAGCAGTGTATTGCATTCAGTTCGTGTTGATTTGGAAATTATTCGGTAAATATTTACTTTAGGTCCGCAATATTATTTTAACAAGAATTATCCATCATTTACAAGTTGCAGCAGACAAAGAATGTAAAGTAGCTTTTCCATGACACTCAAAGTGTTAAAAGATTAAAATGAGTAATGTTGTTGGGAGCTGCAAAGAAAGCTAATTATAAAGGATGCTTTGAACAAGATATTTTCAGTGCAGAGGCTCTTGGCTGGTGCGCTATGATGCAGATTTACTGCAGTGTGTTGTGGGTTTTGCGAGTGCTGTGAGCCTTAGCCTGAATCTGAATGTGCTGGTTAATTATTGCACATGAAAGCAAGTCCTCCCTGTGGCCTAGTGGATAAGGCGTCCGTCTCCTAACTCGGTGGCAGCGAGTTCGCGGCCGGGAAGCTCCACGTCGTTTGACCCGCGTTCCTATCTTAAGCCAGCTGGCAACTGGCGAGAGAGGGCCACGCTAGACCTGGGAGGACCGTGCCGCCATCTACCTGCGGCACGTTAAACTTTCCATCCAAATTATCACCGGTGAACCGGGCGCGGGCAAAGTGGGGTGGTGGGTCCGTGGTGTCATTTGCAACAAGCACTGCTTAACGGGACACCCGGGCCCATAACCACCCATTCATCCATTCGGACAAAATTTCTTTAAAAAAAAGATGTGAGAGGAATGATCTGGATTCTGGACAGCCAGTAAAGAAACAACTAGCCCTTTATCTCAGTATTTTGTATTGCAAGTACCTATATATTTTAAGATAAGGTATGCAGTAAATTTGTAGGTGTTGTTTGGTGTGGGCTCAGGGCTGGTACTAGAGATTTGATCGACAAGCTGGATATTTTGTAAACTACAGTTGCCATGCTTTGAAACTGGAGAGATGGGAAAACATTGATTGAAAATTGATTTAATTTAAGTGCATTTAATTTTGAAAATTAATAGTTATTTCAAAAGCAGCACAACAGTAAGGCATTTTAACATTATATCCCATTCTCAGCTGGAGAAATTTAAGAGCTTTACACACTCAGACTCAAGTCAATTTATGGCTAATTTCTGTTTGCTACCTTTTGAATTCATGAACTGGTTGGTAAACACTTTTATTTTTGATTATCTAGGTATTTTAAAACAATTTTTATTTTTACTTTGGACATGCAACAGGTACACATCGCATCTTGCTTGTGAATCAAAATGTTTTTGGAAAATATGGATGCCACATTTGGTTTGTGCCAGTTGTTCTTTTGTATGACATGTTATGTGCTGCATTGTTTTCTCTTATCATTGAAAAATAGCCAGTTACTAGCCACCCCCAATCCCAAAATCAGCTTCTCTATGTTAACCCGAGCCGCGACTTCCGCGCCGGGCCGGGGCGGGGGTCTGAAGACCCCCGTCTAACTCGGCTCCTGGGCAACGTAGCGACATGTGGTAAGCGGCATTCGAAAGGGCGTCAAAAATTGTGATGGAAACACTGCGGTCATTTTTAAGGTCAGGTCAAAGGTCAGGTCGTCAGAGGTAATCAAAGGTCAAATTAAGTCCATCTCAACAATTTTGGAAACTGACAAGGCTAACTCGGGAATCAATAGAGCTACAGCGCCGCGGAAAAGCGCATTCGGTAGCCCTTATACACACTTTTCTGGGCAATGTTCTCAGATTTGACCTCAGGTCAACGGTTTAGCCTCCAGAAGAGCAAAAACTAAAAATAGGTAGCAGTTTTTATGAAAAGGGGCTTTCAGTAATAACTTTTGACCCAAGAGAGACACGACATTTATTTTGCCAGCATCGTGTTCCCCTCGTCGTGACGCGTCGAATGAACTATAAGTTGACCTTGAAGGGTCATTTGGAAAATTTGACCTCAGGTCAAGGTCATGACCTGTCGGGAAAGGGTCATGTTGCATATCAGTCGATTCGTATCGTCTAAATGAACACATCTGAGGTGTTTTCATTGCTCTAGCCATATACCACTATATATCGCCTCATATAGTGGTATAGTGGTCTATGCTCTAGCATGTCTCCATCAAAAGTTATTGTCAAAAAAACGCTGGGGATCTTTCATGACGTGTTATGACTTCAGGGACATAAGGTCTAAGGAGAGGTCACATGTGCTACTATTTTTGATTCAGCTTGTCAATTTTACCTGGAACTCGATGTTAGAGAGTGTTTGGAATGGCGTTCGTCCAAAAGAGACTCTTTTCAATTTTCTCCCATTGACTTATAATGGAGAGGTCGCAAAATTGACCTGACCTTAGGTCACCGATAACTAAATTCCGAGATATAGATTTCGTGCATACATACTGTAACTGTTATCAATCGCTGAAAGTTTCGAGGCGATCGTTCAGTCGGTATAGTTATGACCATCGTCATAGCTCAAAAGTTAGAAATCGCCAAAAAAAGTTTGAATCCTCGAGGATTCAAACTTTTTTTCTGAGGTGAGGTCACTTGACGTGACCTGGTGACCTGATCATGACAGCCCTGGGTCTGAACTTTTTACAACATGTGTGAAAAAGATGCATGAACAGGTGTGCCAAAAACGGTGGCGCTCAGCGCCGCCGTTTTTGAGGTATCTGCGAAAAACCGCAGGGGGAGGAGTGTTCACACACACACACACACACACACACACACACACACACACACACACACACACACACACACACACACACACACACACACACACACACACACACACACACACACACACACACACACACACACACACACACACACACACACACACACACACACACACACACACACACACACACACACACACACACACACACACACACACACACACACACCACACACACACACACACACACACACACACACACACACACACACACACACACACACACACACACACACACACACACACACACACACACACACACACACACACACACACACACACACACACACACACACACACACACACACACACACACACACACACACACACACACACACACACACACACACACACACACACACACACACACACACACACACACACACACACACACACACACACACACACACACACACACACACACACACACACACACACACACACACACACACACACACACACACACACACACACACACACACACACACACACACACACACACACACACACACACACACACACACACACACACACACACACACACACACACACACACACACACACACACACACACACACACACACACACACACACACCACACACACACACACACACACACACACACACACACACACACACACACACACACACACACACCACACACACACACACACACACACACACACACACACACACACACACACACACACACACACACACACACACACACACACACACACACACACACACACACACACACACACACACACACACACACACACACACACACACACACACACACACACACACACACACACACACACACACACACACACACACACACACACACACACACACACACACACACACACACACACACACACACACACACCACACACACACACACACACACACACACACACACACACACACACACACACACACACACACACACACACACACACACACACACACACACACACACACACACACACACACACACACACACACACACACACACACACACACACACACACACACACACACACACACACACACACACACACACACACACACACACACACACACACACACACACACACACACACACACACACACACACACACACACACACACACACACACACACACACACACACACCACACACACACACACACACACACACACACACACACACACACACACACACACACACACACACACACACACACACACACACACACACACACACACACACACACACACACACACACACACACACACACACACACACACACACACACACACACACACACACACACACACACACACACACACACACACACACCCCGGCCCTGCGCGGGTTAAAAAGAAATACCTACATGCCTATTAACATTGCTGAGCTGCTGTCACTCATATTCAGTTTTAAATATTTTACAGGCATCTTTCTCCATTTAATTTACCCAGTTTGCGTCTTGCCTTTTTATATCTATTTTATTGCAAGTGCAACTTTTATGGCTGATGGGCATACAATTAGAAGTGTTGAATCCAGAGTATACAAGTGTGCTCTCATTTGTTCCTTTGCATGTGATCTACTCAAATAACTTGGGTTCATTTCTTTGTTGACAGCGTCGAGTCTGAGTCACAGTTGCCATGGAGACGCTGCTGCGCGGCGCGAGCGGTCTGCGCCTGGATGACAGCGTGTCCACCGTCTCAGACCTGCTGGACACAGAGCCGTCTGCCGAGGCTCTGCCGGCGCTGCTGGAGGGGGCTGAGCGACTCTGCTGCGGCTTCTCGCATAACAGTGAGTGTGTGGGAGTGTCGTATAACAGTGAGCTTATGGGACGGCTATGTCAAAAGTGATTGTGCATAGCCGATCGAGCAACAAGAGGACGGTACATATTTGTGAGTGTATCCGACCGTTGCACAATAGTAGTATCATGCGGGGATATCGCGTGGGTACTCCTCAGACCTCAGCTGCATCGCTTACTCTCTTTTGAGTTTTGCGTGTCACGAAGGATGGATGACCCATGCAGTGCCGTCTGTTTCGACTGCGCTTGCGACAGTACCTGTCACAGCTGCCTGTACCACTGCACCTAGATGTCCCCAGATCTGGTGATCCAGTGCGCCCTACAGCCACCTCCCCCTGCCCTGTCTGTACCGCTCTGTCTACTACTACCTCCAGGTCTGGTGATTCAGCATGCCCTTCAGTACCTGTCCCCCGCCCTGTCTGTACCAATGTGTCTACTATCTCTAGGTCTGGTGATTCAGCGCGCCCTTCAATACCTGTCGGCCGAGCAGCCGCTGGAGGCGCTGCACTACCTCGCGGAGAGCCACTCCACCACCCTGCGACAGTACATGATCATGAAGAGCTCCTGCCGACTGGTACAGTAAGTGACAAACGCGCGGACTGGAGGGTGGATCTTTCGCTACTCGGAGCTTGGCAGAATTACTCGTCGTTCGTTCTGCTTGCTTGATTTAACATGTTGGTACGGAACCTGTTCGTACAGTGTATAGGAGTTGCGATATGTTGTTGATGATCGCTGCAGTCACGTCCTCCTGAAATCTAAGGTCGGGCTCGGAGTCTCGCGGACGGCAAAGATTCTAGTGCTACATCGAACGGCATTTTGGGCCCAGACGGCGAAGAATCTTACCCCGCGTTCGATGTCTTTCGGACGACGAAGATTCTACGTCGTCCGGTCAATCCCGTTCAAGGTCAGAGGGGCTCGGCTGCAGCTATGGAATGTGATTGGCCGGACGGCGTAGAATCTTCGTCGTCCAAGAGACATCGAACGCGGGGTTAGTGGCCTTGCTTAGAATTTTCGTCGCCAGGCCCAAAACGCCGTTCGATGTCGCAGGGACGGCGAAAATTCTACGTGACGTCACGGAGAATCTCTGCCGTTCGCGAGACCGCGAATCCGGCTTAAAAGTTGCCATCTGCCCTGACCTGCCATTTGCCCTGACCTGACGTTTCCGTCGTTGCTAGGTCGCAGGTCAAGTCTGGCGATCGGGTGTCAGGCTGGCCGGCCGGCACGCAGGAGGCGCTCCTCGACTCCCGGCGCCGGCAGCTGCAGTACAAATCGGTCCCGGAACGACGACAGGAGATGGTTGACCTCATCAATCTTGTGCCACCCGGTAGGTATAGGACTGGGGCCCTGGCGCTGGCAGGCTGCAGAGGGGTGACGTTTGACGCTTGGTTGACTGCATGGGCTGATTAAGCGTCTGCCCCGAAAACCCCTACAGAACAATAATTAGAGAGTTTGACATGCGCACCGCGGATGTTTTGTCATTGAATTAGGGTGTGAATGATATAGCATGGTGTTCTAACTACATTCGCGCTGGTCCTTCGTGCGCTTTTAAACATTATGTCCCGTCCTTTCACCCTCTTAGCTGACTCTCCCCTCCCCTCCCCTCTGTGTAGACTATACATAGAGGATCCAAATGACAGCGGTGCCACAGTCGGCTGACCCGTCTCTCCCCTCTTCTGTGTACAGACTGGACGGTGATCCAACTCACAGCGGTACCGCGGGCTCGCAGTCGGCTGACCCGTCACGACACACCCGAGCTGGTGGTGTCCCGGTTCCAGGGCGGAGACCCCGACTCGGTGCTGCTGACGCGCGTGCCGGCGCCCGCCTCCGACCACTGCTGCTCGTTCCTCTCGCAGTTTGAGGCGATGTTAGCCGACAACGGTTCGATTCAGCGCAGTCTCTCCAATGACCGGCACAAGTACTGGGCAGAGCGCGGCCTGCTCGACGAGAGGATGAAGGTAAGCTCTGTCGTTGTGAGAGGACGCCAAACGCATAGAGATATTATATACATCTTATATTATATGTATACAAGATCTCTATGGCCAAAACGAAGAGGTTGCAGCTGAATTCAAGTGTATTGAAAGTTTAATATTAATGCATTAATTGAGGCATGACTTAGAATTTTATTGATTTCCAAATTTATTATATCGACAGACTGTTGTAATTGCCAACAACGATACTGAAAGATGAATGACCTTCAGGTCTGGAACCCGTAGAACTATCCACGGCTCTGCAGCTGGATCTATGGAAAAGTGTCAATCATATTTTGAGAACAGTCTTTTGGTCACAAATTTCCAATGCGTATCGTCAATGCTGGCGCCGGATTGTTAACTTCTATCGGTGGTGCTAGGCCACTACTCATTACGTCGCATTGACTTTAACCTCTGTTAGGCCTACATCAGACTGTTGTTGCTATCACTGCTGATTCCACGCCGCCCCGTCTGCCGTGTTCCCCAGTCGATCGTCCGGAGTATGGAGGTAGCCTGGCTGGGCCGACACGCCTACCTGTTGGCCGGCTGTCTGCTGCGTCCGCAGCACCGGCGCGCCGTCGCCGAGACGGTGGCCGCTCTGCCGGCCTCTCTGAGCGGCGAGCAGCGCGCGCGGCTGGCTCTGCTGGCGGCCCGTCTCCCGGAGACCGCTGGTGACCTGGCGGACGGCGTGGCGGCGGCGCTAGGCCCGTCGGCGCCTTCTGAGCTCCGGCGAACCGTCACTGAGACGCTGGCGGAGCGGCGCGATGATCTGGAGGACGCGTCGGCGGGGGCGCGCCGCGGTCAGGTGCTGCTCGTGCTGGACCGCGAGGTGCAGCGCTACCCGTGGGAGACGGTGGCCGGCCTGGCGCTGGGACCCGCCTGTCGCCTCCCGTCGCTGGCTATCCTCGGTCTGTGTCTGACCAGCCGCAACCAGCGGCCCGCGCCCCTGCCGGCCGCCGCTGGCGCCACCTACATCCTGAACCCGGCCGGCGACCTGGTGAACACGGAGCAGCGCATGGGACCGTTCCTGGAGCAGCGCGGCTGGAACGGTATCGTCGGACGGCCGCCCACGCTCAAAGAGTTCTCTGCGGCGCTCACCGAGGGACAGGTCATGGCGTAAGTGACGGGCGTCGATAGTCGATACCAACCCAGTCCTGCTCCTGAAACCCGGACGCGTATTCGCCAAGGACATAGGCGCATATGGGCATTGGGTAGCCGGCAGGGAGGGCCTACGTAGAGGTATGTTAGTTTACGTATATGCGTAGTGCGTACGTATAGATACTGTGTCCACGGCAGCGACAGAGCCTCCCAACCTTTGAGTTTCGACTGAACTGTACTGTACTCGCAGGCCCGACTGCTGATTGAACTGTACTGGGCGCGCAGGCCCAACTGCTTCTGTCAGGCAGCGGCCGCTGTTACTCCCTTCCGATTGCTGACTTTGGACTGTTGTACTATTATCGCAGATACTGCGGCCACGGCAGCCGGCAGCCGGTACCTGCCGACTCACTAAATGGTACCTACTATTCTCGCAGGTACTGCGGCCACGGCAGCGGCAGCCAGTACCTGCCGACGGAGAAGCTGCGCGCGCTGCACTGTAACGCCGTGGCGCTGCTGTTCGGCTGCAGCAGCGGTCAGCTGGTGCAGCCCGGGCCGACGGCCGACCCGCACGGCTCGGTGCTAGCCTACCTGATGGCCAACTGGTGAGACATCTGGGTGGAATGTAAGGTAGACAAAGATGGCGGGCGAATACGCACTACACAGGAGTTGAAATGGAATGGACCACGAAAACTGTGTTTGTGGGACGAGGGCGATCCTGGTATCTGTGTAACCTGGTAACTGTGTTAGTTCTCTGTGGCAGTATGACAGTTACCGCGATCTTTGTTAACCTGTGGACTGCTGTGGTATGTAGTCGTACGTCTGAGTTACTGCGACCCTCGGAGCTACCTGTGGTAATTATTGGGACAGTATATTTGTCAGCTATCGTAGTCCCTAGTGACTTGTGGTCGGTCACAGTGTTTCTGACAGTTACTCTTCGCATATGTTCCACAGTCCGGCGCTTCTCGGTGTGTCTCACAGTGTCCCTCTTTACCCACAGTCCGGCGATTCTCAGTGTGTCTCACACAGTGTCCCTCTTTACCCACAGCCCAGCGATTCTGGGTAACCTGTGGCCGGTGACAGATAACATGCTGGACACGTACTCCAAGGCCGTCATTGAACAGTGGACAGGTGAGGACTGTTGCGGTATCTAACCGAGTGTCAAAGGACTGTCTGTCGTGAGCGTCGGCCGGTCAATGCTCAATGAGATCGCTAGATAAAAATTTTGGATGGGGAGAGAAGTGCACCAGATGTTTACAAAACGCTTAAAAGAAAGTTTTACAAGAATGTGGGTAGTGGATTTTCTTTTCTGTTGTGTCGAGTACGGCAGTGGTAGTTTGAAGGGTTGTTCTTTCTGCGTTTTGATCGTACTGTTCGACAATTTTTCGTTGGTCTGAGCCTTTTATGTAGTGTATACTCAAAGGGTGTCTGACGCGTTTATCCTGACCACTGACACCGGCCTCCCCTTTTACAGACGGGCCCAGTGGCCGCAGTCTGCCGGAGGCGGTGTCGGCAGCGCGCAGCTCAGTCACCTCCTGGTTCATGGCGGCAGCGCCGGTCGTGTACGGCCTGCCCGTCACTGCCGACCACATCCGACCTCGCCAGCCCGAGACCCCCTGTCCAGCCGCACAGAAAGCGGGCGACACCTCCCGGCTGGATGCTGCTGGTGACCGGTCCAAACTGGACGCCAGTGTCAACAAGTCCAAGCTAAATGCTACCATGGAACGGTCGAAGGTGGGGCGGGGAGAGGACCGGCTCGGACTAGATGCCACCGCTGACAGCTCGAAACTGAACGCTCTCACCGACCGAACCAACATGACGGGAGTGCTGGACGGCTCGCGTGTCGGCCTGCTGGAGGCGCTGGACAGAGATGATAGGGCGACAGAGAAGTCGCGTGCCGACACGACGCGGGATAGTGTTAGCACGGAGCCTCCCCTGGATCGCACCCAGTCGGAGAAGGCGTCACAAAAGGATCCTGCGGAGAGCAAGAAGACCGCGGCGCGGGGCCCGACGCGGATACCCACCAAGGTGGGGTCTGGCACCGCTAGGAGCGCGGCCGGCACGGGGCGACCGCGCAGCGCCGGACGGGGTGGAAGGAGAGCGGCAGCGACGGCAGAGGTGGCTGGCGCTGCCGAGACCAAAACGACGGCCCGACCGCAGCGCGCCAGCCGCAGAATATGAATCAGCTCGTAGGCAGGCTCTGTCGCCTCGACGCGGCGGGATGATGAATGACAGTACTCTTGTGTGAACCTGCTCATCGTGATTTTTAAGTGACGCATCCGCTGCGTTGCGCTCCGTGGTGTATCCCCGTTTTAGCGCGATGTAGTGACTGTTACATTTCGACTATGCATCGCAGACGTTAGCCACCGAGTGCAGTTTTAATTCATGTTATAGTAAACGGCACATCGAGTATAGTCGAGTGTATTTGTAATGGTGTTCATAGCTTAGCCGTTTACGATACACGATTCACGATGGCGCAAGCACCCCAAAGACTTACAGGCGCAAAGATTCACAGTACGATCCGTCGATTCACGCGGTCCTTATTCTAGCGGATCCCGCACGCAGTGTTTACGGTTTGTGTCTGCTTGTAATGCGTATCGTATACGCTCAGTTTGCAGTACTTAAGTCCTAAACGTTAGTATCGGACGGGGCGAACCTGCTCGTGCCCCGCTCCGATGACATTTCACAGCGCGTCAATAACTTAGGACCCTCCTGACTCCACTACCCTCACCCAGCGGAAGCCTGCCCTCAAAACCCCCTACCCATCCACTTATTAACCCTCATCATAGGTCTCCAGCACATCCTTCAGATGGTCATTGTCCTTCGGCGCCTTGTTCTTCCGCTTTCCTCCGCGAGACTTGCGCTTGGGCGGCACCAGCTTCTTCAGGCCGTGGTCATGCATCGCCTGGAGACCCTGGCGCTCCAGGTACTCCTCGATCTTCTCGTCATCGACGCCGCGGACAGGCACGCTGCGCCACAGCTTGGCGAGCTCCTCGTCCACCTGGAAGCGGGCCGTGCGGTCGTTGTAGAAGATGACCTTCTTCTTGTCCTGCGGCCGGACGATGTAGGTGATGTCGTTGGCTATTTGCTGAAAATGGAGAAGGGAAAAGATCAGTCGCTGGCCGGGGATACTTGTATTATACATGGGTTTTTGTAGCGGTGTTACAACCCATACGGCGGTGGAATTGTTTCAGACCAAATCGACGCACGTACAAAATACATATATCACGATGAAGCGAGATTTGTGTAAAACACGGCCATTTTTTTAGGTAAAAGTGATGAATAATGGATAATTGGCACTGTAAATGACAGCTCATTTAGTAGCATAGCCTTCAAAAGTGCATTGCAGAGATGGTCGACGTTCACAAAAATATGGAAGTTGAACAGAATAAGAAAGCTACCCATATTCAAGCTTCAAATTCGTCCATATGCTTTCAACTGGCACCTGAATCGTGCATTATCCATATTCATGGAAGCTCCAGTATTTCCTTAAAATGTTAAGTTCAAACTGGAGCCTTATAAGTATCCACCTCTTCCGATCTCCGTCCCTGATCGCTCCGACGCCGCAGACCTTAACTCATCTACGCCTGTCGATACGCCACACACAGACCCCTCATCTCGTCCGTACCTTCATGATGCGGTCGCAGTTGGGCAGGCTCTCCTGCACGTCCTCTAGCAGCAGGCCGCCGTAGCCCTTGAGGTCGTGCTTCCGCAGTAGCTTCAGCATCGTCTTGCGGTCTCGCAGATCGTACGGCGGCTTGAACTGGTACTTGCCCTCCGGCGTCACCATGATCTTCGGGTTGCTAGGCAACGCCTCTGTCTGTAGCCACTGTGGACGATAGGCAGTGCATTTCGTCAATATGTAGACACATTACCTGTGGGAAGGGATCACACCAGGAAGAACGCAATATTATCGACACCGTCTGAATTAAAGCTACGCTGGTCAGTCAACAAACACAAAATTATCCGTAAAAATAAGGAGGTAAAAATAGTAGAAGTCATACCAATGAATCACCATGTCAGATAAATCAGGTAACAAACTTGTAAAGCATATCGCCGCTCGACCGTTTGTGAATTACAATGAGGTTGACTGGAACGCTATGATGCCACTCATACGACGCACGTTAACGCCTTATTCCACGACTTCCACTTCTCCCCACGCCCCTTCCACTATTCGGCTCTCACCTGTTTGACTTTGGAGCCGGCGTCCAGCTGATTGGTCTCATCCAGGATCTCCTCCAGGGTGAGCGGGTACAAGTTACCCTCCTGATGGCGCTTGCGCATGTGTTTGACGATTTTGGCCAGCACGCCGAAACGGTACTGAGAGCTGCCCGATACCATTTTCAGGCTGAAAAGCGGAGAGGCGGGTGGTGAGTGTGCCGTGCTGGGTGAGAGAAGCACCACGACTGGAGAACGAGTGACATCACTGCCGACTAACTAGCTGGAAGGACCGATCGCTCGCGGGCGAGATCGACGGAACGGTCCGAAATAAAAGGTGGGTTTTGCAAACATATTGCGAAATGAGCTTACACTTATAATAAAATGCTCTTGAAGTTAACGATGTAAATACGCTACAAGGTAAGCCAATCGAGTTGATAAAATGATTCTCTGTAAGTGCTAGTACACTTTTGGTATTTCTAAATCCAGGTCAGACATGATTAGCTTACCTGTGAATGTCACCAGGGGTCGGTCCAGTTTTAGCCTTCTTCTTTGGAGGCTCGCTGACACTGGGTTTTGAAGGTGCCTTCTTTGGTTTGGTTTCCACCCTGGAAGCACACAACATATGCAATTCTTACTACCTGACACATATTGGCATAAGTATCCCACAAAATTGCATGGACAAATGGAAATACACTAGATATTTCTTAAATGAGCTGGTAGTGCCAATGATTTGCAACAATACAATATCAAAGATTCAATAATGAACATTGAAAAGCAGCATCATTATTGTAGGCATGTGATTGTGAAAAAAAAAAACATTCAATCGGTTGCACTCAGAGTCCTCCAGTTTAAACTTACACAGGGGTGGCCATTGCCTTCTTTCGGAAGGCATCTCTCTCCTTCAGTAGTGATGGATCCATAATGGTTATGTATTCCTGAAAAAGAGCACATATGTTGGACTTAATTTACATGCAATGCATAGGATGACTGATGATGATGAAATGCTAGGATGATCCCCAAACAGTGTCCCAAAATTTGTCAGTTTGGGTGGAACAAGACATCCAAATGAAAATAATTTTCCACTCCCACCCCACCTCCAACTTTCAAGAGCAATTTACCACTCATGAGAGAGCATCTGCTTGCATAATCGCATCCTATTTTACCATTGTACAGAAAAGTGTGCAATCTTTCCTTCTTCTGTTCTTTATTTTTTTTTTGGGGGAGGGGGGCTAATCTTATCAAGAATATACCATCCTCTTCCCTTTTTTGGAGAGGAATTTTCCCCTCTAACACCCAAGCATTAATATAATTTTGTGACACTGTCCCCAAAAGAGTTCCAGAATTACCCAAGGACTTGCTGCCACTAAGATCAACATAGAGCTACATGCCTTCTTATGGGATAAAGTAAATAAGAATTACATTTAAATACTACCCAAATTGTCAGAGATGTACCCATAATTTTTGGGTATCATAAACTGAATCATGAAATAGGTACTCTCCCAGCAAAAAGGACACATATTCATATCCCAATAATGATCTATCAAGCATGGACAAAATAAAAGTAGAAAATAATATGCAAATCAGGAATGACTAGAAAAAATGTCTTATAATTGAGATTCTGACACAGCAGTGTGCCAGCACAATCACCATATGGCACACAGTACACAAACAAAGCACTTTCACTTTCAACATGATTCCCAGTACAATAACAACATTATTTACTTGTCGACAATCTGAGCAAAAACAAATGAGATACCTATGGTCTCCTTTGGCATCAGGCGTGCTTTATAAATTGCCAGGACTGTACAGATATAAGTTTAAAGTTGGCAAGCAGTTAGCTCATGCAGACACCAAGCAAAAAAAAAAACAGTCATATTGAATACCTTGGTCCCTACAAGATAATAATTGGAATAGACTGACGTGGCCAGACAGCGTAACCAATTACTGACGTTACCAGACAACTACCAATTCTGAATTCATTGGCGCAAATCTTCGTCCAATATACTTTTATGCAAGGCCAGTAGGCGGAACTATGGTCATGAGTACCCATATATAGGAACGTTCCCATTTTTGGGAACGGAGTTCCCAAATATGGGAACGGGCGTTCCCATTAATGGGAACGGAAGGTAATTTTTCGGCCGTTCGCCCACTAAAACTCATTAGTGCATCACGTCTCAAAAAAGTGCACGCTAATTTAAGTATCTACTAAGTCTCTATAAAATTATCTTTAATCTGACCGTTGCACAAGGAAATTGACCGTCGAATGATATTTTTAATGATTTTTTGAAATGACGGAATGGTGAAAACATGGGTTATACTACATTTAACTTGCAATTTTAAGGAAAATGAAGCGTTTTTTACATTTTGAGGTCAAGTATAATAATTTTCGCCTGGTTATGAAGTTTCATACTAGCGACACCAGATGCTGACATATGCAAGCGAACACGCGGACAGTCCGGGGGTGATATTGGTGACATTTGGTGTCGGGGCGCACGACCGCATGGAACGTCAGTGATTTTACCGAACTACTGTTGTAAACTCAGTTTCAGTGGTTTAAAATTATTCAGCTGTATTATATCATCCCAGATAGACATATTTTATTTGGATGCTAGCTGTTTAGAGTTGTTTTATAAGGAGCGTCATGAGCTTGGTTTTTGTCTTCCGTGTTTCTAAGCGTGATCGTTTTGGGGGAATTTCTCTTATATAGGTCGCTCTGTGTGACTTATTTATAATTTTTATGCTGATTTCGATCATTCCTCGTGCCCATCCTACCAGGCCTTTTGCCACTTACACTCATTAAGAAAGGAAAAAACTAGATTTTCATTGGAACTAGGTGTTTTGAGGGTGTAACATATTCAGCGTTCCCATTTTTGGATACTTCCTTGTGCTCGTCAACTATCGGTGATAAACAGACAGGTGCTTGACATGTCTCCACCCTCGGCGCGGACGGTGGATATAGGTATGGAAGACCTTGTTGAACATCGCTGAGCGTTGTGAATTACGTAATCCTGCAGAGGGGGGCGTGCCCGCTGCGAGATCGACGGGAATAAAAGCGCAGAAGACCGGGCGAAACATGCGACGGTCTTGCCGGAAAGGTCATCTGATGATTGTTGCGTTAACAATAATTTGCGGCGTTGGACGTGATGCTTGTTAATGAAAAGAGCCCCTGAAAGGCGTCGGTGAAATCGTTCCCAATTTTGGGTACGCCGTTCCCATAATAAGGAACGCTTGCAGCGCCAGTGTACGAGAGCGTTCCCAAATTTGGGCTCGCGGCCCGGATGATGGACTGCTTTAGAAATAGGGGAACGATTTGAAACTACGATGGGCCTTACAATATCAAACTCTTTCCCAACAATATTGCGACAAATATCAGGTGGTTCACGATCGTTTTATATTTTTTGGACGTCATTTAACGGTTCTTTTTCTTGTTTTAAATAATGCCTACATGGCGTTCCCATATTTGGGTTTATCGTTCCCAAACATGGGAACGAAAATGCGTTCCCGAAAATGGGTACGCTTGACCATAGTTCCGCCTACTGATATAGGTATGGAAGACCTTGTTGAACATCGCTGAGCGTTGTGAATTACGTAATCCTGCAGAGGGGGGCGTGCCCGCTGCGAGATCGACGGGAATAAAAGCGCAGAAGACCGGGCGAAACATGCGACGGTCTTGCCGGAAAGGTCATCTGATGATTGTTGCGTTAACAATAATTTGCGGCGTTGGACGTGATGCTTGTTAATGAAAAGAGCCCCTGAAAGGCGTCGGTGAAATCGTTCCCAATTTTGGGTACGCCGTTCCCATAATAAGGAACGCTTGCAGCGCCAGTGTACGAGAGCGTTCCCAAATTTGGGCTCGCGGCCCGGATGATGGACTGCTTTAGAAATAGGGGAACGATTTGAAACTACGATGGGCCTTACAATATCAAACTCTTTCCCAACAATATTGAGACAAATATCAGGCGGTTCACGATCGTTTTATATTTTTTGGACGTCATTTAACGGTTCTTTTTCTTGTTTTAAATAATGCCTACATGGCGTTCCCATATTTGGGTTTATCGTTCCCAAACATGGGAACGAAAATGCGTTCCCGAAAATGGGTACGCTTGACCATAGTTCCGCCTACTGATAAAAGAAAGCTTTAACCTTTCCCATACATACTTTTCACAACTGAAGAATTCAAATATATGACAAATATGAAGACGCTCTGTGAAAGACTTCCCCCGAAGCACAAATGAAAAATAACTCTCCCGACGTTCCTACAGTGAATTAGCGAACGACAGACAAAATGCACAAATATCACTGAACTCTATAATGACAAATATTCATTTACAATGAATTGTCTCTTTTGCGCCACTTTTCCTTATTTATGTTCAAAAGCAGATGTCAGTCTGTGCTGCTTTGTTGTTGTTGCATTTGTTTTGCATTATTTAAACAGTTTATGAAATATGCTGCATAATTTTGATTTCAAAATATATTGGTGCCTTACAAACTAAAAATTTAAGTTACAAATTCGACAAAATATTTACAAAAGTATGTAGGATATCAAACTATTCTGTTGACGACAGATTATTCAGAACATGTTTCCTGAAAGGCTCGTTTATTTGCTCACTGCGCATGCGCAAAAGCAAGGTCTTGTAATGCGAAGATTTCCGCGTCCGCTTCACACGCACTCCCCTCTGCGCGGCGACAGCTGCGCCCGATCGTCTCTCTGAGAAACGGGCGACGCTGGTTAGGGGGTGAGTCGGGTCGACTTTCACGAGGAACGCGTCGAGAGGCACTAGGGTTATCGTTCGTCGAGCAGTGAGGTGCGGATTAGTCGCGTGCGCGAGGCTAAGTGCTCCGGAGGTGTGTCGTGTGTCTCAACCTGTGCTCCGCGTTGCGTTGTGAAAGTTCTCTCTGAGAATAAGTGAAATCTTGTTCTCTAGTGTTTCTGAATTTCAATTATCAAGCAGCAAAGCTAGAAGAAATTTGGAACCGCTCAAGCTCTAGCCAGCAAGCAGGTCAGTACGAATGCTCTCCATGTTGAGATCCAATGTCGATTCCGGAATGTGTTGATGTGGCAGTGGGTAATTGGGCTGTGACTTCAATTTTTCAGTCCTCATCATGCTTAAATGCATTAGTAATTTTTATTTAATCATTTCAGCATTTTTTTCCTTTTTACAAGCATACTATTTCTATCCTGAAGTGCTAACCTGAACCTGAACTGAACCCTTCTTGACGTGGCACCTTGAGCTGTTCTGTGCTATTCATTTCAATTTTGATAGGCTATGGCCATTGTTTTCTCTTTAGGAATAATGTTATATTTTTTCATTGCCTATTACATTTTCAATAACTTTCAAAAGTGCTGTAAGCCAGTTGAGATGTTTAAACTCCTTGAAAATAGCTTTTCAGCTTGTTGGAAACCTATTCTATTCTTGCATAATCTGTACCTACCTGCTACACCTTTGTCAGCATGCTCTCTGAGTGATAGAAATGTGATTCAGTGATGGTCTTCTGCTGGTTATCAATTTAGTCTTGCTCGATTTTTTTCCTTTCTAGCCATAAATGATATTTTGAATTAGACTTGATAGAAAACTTGCACCCTTGCCACTCTCCAGCTCTTACAAGAGTTGGAACTTGGATTTGATGCAGACTATGTACAATTTCTTCATACTTCATAGTCCCATCATTAGCTATTCAATTCAGCTATATTGTTTATGTTATATTTTTATTTTGTGTGAATGCTCACTTCTAATGATTTTTAGAATCTACATGTGCCCTATGCACTCACTACATCCTACATATATGTTCTTTAATTGCGATTATAGCAGATTTTTCTCGTTCGAAACTGGAGAAGTTCCCTTCGGTCGGTCGGTAATGGGTCTGATTTGAAAGTTGGCCCGTTACATCTACCAGCTGTACGCCAGTAGGCAGTAGGGTCGTCACTTGCCGATCGGTCGGAAGGCATGCACCGTAGGGAGGTCGCTGATCGATGACGCTGCTTGGTTGAAACGAAGCATTCACAAACCCAGGAGGGTCTTCGTTTCACACCGATTATTGGAGCTAAATCACCGTTGCCTGATGACTCACTTTTGTATCGTTTTATTCGTTTGTCTGTGAATGGAGTGGGTGGGATCCAGCCGGTGGAGTACCGAAGTATTTAAGTAACCTTTCACCGTCAAAGTCCCCGGAAAACTGGCAAACACAAGAACGTCATCATCATCGAGTTCTTACGAAGTCTCGTTCGCAAACACCCACCGTGGACCTCAGCGTCTTGGACGTCGTGTCCTTGGTGCTGCCGGCCGCCATTATCTCTGCCATAATCCTCGCCGCCCTGCCGGCCGTTTTTGCCACTCCGCGGAGGGCTTTGTAGGGCCCGCTGTTTGCCATCTATCGGAGCCCGGAAATGGAGAGATGACCTGGCCTCGAGGCCTTCAACTCTCAAGACAAACATCTGCACGGCGGAGATGGACGTTTCAGTATGCACACGGCTCGCGGCCTCTGTCGGCGCTCCCCTCCCGTTCACTTTGTCACAAGAACTGGCTCACCTCAGCCGAGAGGCGGCCGTCGTGTCCAAGAGGAATGTCCCGCGCCGAGCAGCACTCCGGCCGGGTCTTTTTGCTCGTGCCAATCGGGCTGGCCGGGTGTTGTGTACTTACTAACAACTCGTCGCATATCGTGGCACGTCAGGGTCGTTTGCCGCCACCCTGCGCTCTGTAGACGGGTTTCGCACGGTGGGCTATCTAGCAGCGAGTGATGGATCTCTTCTGACGCGAGCTCTGACGAGCAGCCCCGCGTCCGCGTCCCGGCGAGCCGTGGCAGGCCGCCATGGCCGCGGCAGGACCTCGAGACTGGAATGTGTTCCGAGGACAGTTGGCCATAGCTCTTGCCATATAGGTCGCGAGAAGTGACAGGACGCCCGTTTCGGTGGGACGCGCGGACGTTTTTATCCATGGAAACCGTGCGCACGTGGGATCTCACACTCCTCCGTATCGATATGGAAAAATTGCATGTTAACAACCAATATATGAGGATAAAGATACCAACTTTATGACCAGTTTGACGTCAAACCTATTGCTTTTCCCTAACAAGTGTGATACTGTTATCTCATGTGCTATTTTGGATTTTGTTTCGTTCCTTATTTGTCGTTTTTCCCTAGCAATCTTTGACACCCTTTTTGCCCGCTATGTGTAATCTGCTGTTTCGTTCAACTCAAGTTGATATTTTAACCTCTAGTCTTCTCGCTCTATCCCGTGCCTAAAACCCGCCTCGACTGAACCCAACCCAACCTGACCTGCCTCTCCGCTGTTGCAGGTGTCTCGGCGTGCCGCCGCCCCTCCGATGGCCGTGGTTGGCACACGCAGCTCCCGGCAGTGCATGATGGCGTTCCACGCAGTGAACGGGCCCCACAACGCCATCCTGGCCGCCGCGCAGCCCACCTTCTCGTCAGTGGTGCCCACGGACGCGCAGCCCGACAGGCCCATCGGCTACGGCGCGTTCGGTGTCGTCTGGTGAGTAGAACCTCTGGGGTAGCTGTAGCAGTGGGGTGGGGTGGTTACGATGCTGGAGAGGATGATGGATATACGGTACAGTCTAATGGTTGGAGTGTGAGATGTTTTTCGTCTCTCATTGAGAAAGAAAGGTTGGGGACCGTAATTATGCTTCAGTGGAGCCTAATTGTTGAAAATGTAGTGGCATGCTTTAGTCCGGTATACACTAAATCCCAGAGTCTTATGTAAATCTGTCTATGAGGGGCGATATCTGGTAGGTGTATATGCGAGCCGCCATCTGGACGTTGGTGCCTTTTAGGGCCGCCTAGCATAGCTGTGAATGTTTGCTATGTCGCCTCGCCGCCGAGCACCGTTTCCCTCGCTGGGGCTCAGACAAGGAAGTTATTCCAATGTCAGTGTCCGGATTCGATACGTGGAAATGGACCGGTGCTGTCCTGGTAATCGATAGCGGTCCTCTCTCCCCATCCTGTTGTGGGGTTTTAGAGAGCACCGGCCGTCACCGACTGGACCTCTAAATCGTGGGTCACAGATGCTAACGAGAGACGACCGGCGGGTCAGCGACGGACGGCCCGCGGCTGCCGGGTGATGTCCATCCGTCGGACAGCCGCGGGGATGGATGGGAACTGGGATGGGTAATGCAAAGGGAGCAGCCCTGATTGCTGTCTGCTGTGCTGCAGAGAGAAAACCCATTCACAGTCGATCATTAGCTGGAAGTTTAATGTTTTGATAAGCGAATTTTTGGTGTGCTTGGTCGTGGCAACTTCTACACATATATCCACTCCGCTATGTCTGTCACAGCCCATGTTGACAAACGAACACCGTCGCCCCTCCCCGCTAGTCACCGGAGACCAGTACACTGGTTCTCGATACGGCCAGCAGTGCTAACTTTGGGAAATACCTGGTCATACCGGCTGCATAATCCATGACGTCGGTGGCCATGTTCGACGGCTTTCCTGTTTACTTTTGGCTGCCGGAGGTGGTGTGCTTGACTATGAATTACGCGCCAGTTGTTGCGATGACTCATGACAGTTTTGGAGGCTTACCCGTTCGTTCGTCGTAAGCCATGTAAAGTTCAGATATATCAGATTGGAATGTGTCAATTGGTTGGCTGGGGCTAGCCTGTATAATGGAGAGAATAGCCAGATTACGGGGAGTGAAGTCTCGCTGGTACCGAATCCAACACGGGCTGGCCCCGGGCGCCGTCCACGAGGGTGGAGCTGCGCGTTCGCTTTCGTTGGTCGCCAGCCCGGCCGGCGGCGCCAGCTCGCTAGTGACCTGGTGACCCACTTCAGATGGGTCGGCGTCCACGCACCGCCAGAAAGCGAGAGCCACGCTGGTCGCTCGTCCGACCTGCTCTGACGCGTATCATCCCCCGACTTTCTCATCCTTCCGCCGGTCGCAGTCTGTCCCTTTGCGCTCTCTCGCGTCGTCTTCCCGCGGCCCTGCCTATTTATCCCTCCCAGCCGCGCGGTGGCCTCGGCGCAGAGGAGGTGGCGGGTGTTTTGAAGACGACGCGGGCCGGTCCGGCAGTCCCCGAGCCATCCTACGACTACCATCTGCTGCCGTTCAGACGGCGAAAATAGGCCGACCCGCCCCTCTGTCCGCCGACCCAGCGTTCTCGATGTGTTTGCGCGCGACGACTCTCCGGGGCTCCTCAGGACCGGGTGGCCGCTCCTGCCCACCTGTACCGCCATGTTTGTGCGCGTGTTTGCCGGCTCTGAGGAGCCGAGGGTCGGCCGGACGGACTGCGGTGAAAGGAGGGACTGGCTTGTGGGAGGGGCTGGCCAGGACTCGGCAGACAGGATCAACAAACGCTAAAGAGGCGAGGAGGGGACGGGGGAGGCTAATAGAGACAAACAAGTCGCCGGATAGAGTAGCTGACCGCGGTGCCCCGTAATGGTGATGAGCTCAAATTCCTAAGTGTCATGACATGATCAGCACCCTGACCTGAGTAACTCACACCGTCCAGTAAGGTCCGTATTGCTCGGTACGGACGGGCTAGGCACACATCTCGGAGGGTGTACCGAGGGAGAGAGTTTGAGTAGTGGCGTGCGCGCGCGGCAGCACTCAGCCTTGGTGCCTTCCCCGCCCGCCCGCCCGCCGGGTGAGAGAGTGTCGGGTCAAGGGGTACGGCAGTAGACCCGTGGCGCCGAGCGGCGTCTAGCCTCTGCATCCACTGTACGACCTCTGCTGTCCTTGGCAGGTCCTGAAAGCGGCACTGCTCAATTGATCATGTTGATTTCGGTGTAACGTAAGCTGAGGAGACAGGCCACTCATTCCACCGCGTCCCGTCTCCGCTGAGCTGAGCCACCAGTGTCCCGCAGTGGTCATGTGGCCGACAGAACTCATTGGCACCCCTCTACGGTCGGTCACGAACTCTCGGTGCGGTGGCTGCAGACCTGCAGACCTCTCCACCATGACCCCGTCTCGTGCGGCGCGGCGCGGCCGTCAGCGCTGCACGCCGCCCCACGCGTCCCATCAATTTTCACTCCGGCGTCCCTGCCGTCTAGCCGACCCGGCCCGGCGCGTGTAGCCCATCGCTGGCTCTCAGTCCCAGTCCGTGTGAGTCAGGCCGGCTCAGCCGGGCCGATTGGGCGCAGCCGGTCCCGACTGGCTGGGTGACGCCACTCGTCGCGGCTCTGATTGCCTAACCCAGTTGGTGTGTGGCCGCCAGCGCGTGGCCGCTGGGCCGGCCGAGGTCGGTCGGTGGGTGACGCGCTGGGTCGGCCGTCCCACCGGGTCCCCGGGTGCCCTCGAGCGGCGCTGGGCGGCCGGTGCGAGCTGCCGCTGCCGCCAGTGACCGGATGCCGCCCGTTTGGAGGCCGGCTGCTCGCCAGCCGCCGGCGACTGACCTCCAGCGCCGGCGCCGGCGTCGGAGCGGGCCTTTGTGCGCGGCGCCGGGCAGGTGTGTGCGCGTCCGCAGCCACCACCTGCTGATAGCGCGCCGGAGACGCGGCGGGCTGGTCTTCACGGCCGCCCGGCCCGCCCCGCCGCGGCCCGCCGGCCTGTCCCGCCGCCAACAGCCGCCCTTTGTCGTCTGGTCTGCTTGGTCTGCCGCGGAGACAGGCTCGAGTTGCGGCTGGGACAGGCGACACAGCTGCCCTTCATTGGTGACCTCACCCTACGATCCCGAAATGTATTCGGCAAAGCAGGCCGCGTTTTCCTCAGGTGGGATGTATTTCATGTTGTGCGCGTTAGTATTTGAACGGCAAAACAATAGCTACTGCCCTAAATGAGTGGCTGTACATAAATGGGCTGGTTATCGGGTGATCTGCTTTCAACATGAGAGGCTCAACAAACAGCGAGAGCGTTTGCTCGACAACAGCTGGAAATCATTCGTTTGTTCATCCTAATTGTTGTTCCTTGCACTGTTGTTGCCTCCATCTACCACTGAATCGCACGACTCCGCGCAAGCGCTGGACTAGTCGAGATGGACCCGGCCCGCGCCTTGTTTTTTTTTTCGACTGACAGCCTCCCCGGCATGGAATGGTATCTCAATGCCCTCTCTCTGCCGCCCTGTGTTGTCATAAGGGACGGCTGCCGCTGGTCTGGCGGCTGACGGCGGGTCTGTAAATAGTCCCTCCCCTGTTATGGAGAGCGCCAGTGCGGTCGCACCACCGCGGACCGGCTCGTTGGCGGGTATTGATTGGCGGACCGTTCCCACGCCCCGTCACGTCCCCGTCGTGCCTGGCTGCCTCCCAAACGCACCCGAGACACGCCTGAGGCGTACCTCGAGGCGCCTAGAAGTAGAATGTACTGAGAGTACACCAGGGACTCACTTTGTCAGAGCTCAGAGGCGCTCTCAGACGCTGAGAGCCACCCGAATCGTACACGATTATTATAAATGCGTACATCATCCAGATTCGTCCTCGTTACTGCGTGTATCGGCCTCATCTGGGCTGTTGTTTACATCTCCGGACTGATGGCCGAGTCTCGATAGTGACCGGATACCGCGTCCCATTTAGAGCCTGTGAAATCGAACCTGCCCCGCAGACGAGAAAGTCGAGCAATCGACGCATGCCATCCCTCAACTCGTTACGCTCGCCGCCGGGGGCAATGCCGGGCGTGTATTGTTTCTCTAAGAGCCGGCCGTGGCTGGTAGCTCTCTCTCTCGGTGTGGGTCCCCACGGGGTAGCTCTGCGTGTCGGTCGTGAGCCCGCGCCGTGACTCACGGCTGCTGGGGTGCCGGGAAGTGAGGGTCGGTCACTCCACATCCCCGGGAGTTGTGGTCAGCGGGGCGCGACCACACTGAGCCGCCCCGCCGCCGCTCGGAGCAGGGTGGTGGTCTGGCGCTGGGGACTGGGACCGACCTTCTGATAATGGCCGGGGCCATTGTACTGCCGGGAAGCGATCAGCACCGCGCTGACAGCTGTCAGGCCGGGTTCAAGGTGTGGACTGAACTGTCATTGGCACCGGGTGGGATGTGTCTAGGGGCCGATCGAGGAGTGTTGGGAAGGGCACCGGGTAGTGGGCGGTAGTGGGTGGTCTGTCAGCGTACCGGCGCCTACCCATTGCGGTAGTCGATGGGTAGAACCAACCGACCGGTCTTTGTAACCTGCTGCGCTGCCCCGCCTTTGACCGGCCCAACTCTTTGTTGCCGTTCGGGGGACCGTTCCACGTGGCGATTTCCGGCGATGACGGTCGTCCGAAGCCGTCAACGACGTCTCTTCCGAGCACCGGCGTCGGGCGGTCGCTGCACGGCTGACGCCCGCCGGACAGCCCAGCCCCGGTACTGTGTAGCAGGGCGATAACCGGCACCGCTGCCGGTAAACCGTGATAACCCCGCCCCGCCTGGAGGGGGCCGAAAGGTCACGGCGGCCGGACGTTCCCTATCTCTGCCGGTCTTATCACGGGAGTTGGAGCCACACCGTGGCTCGTGAGAAGCAAGGCTGCCTGATCGTGGTCAGAACACAGGAATGTCGGTCGAGACAGGCCGCCGCTGGTGGCGCCATGAATGGACCACCCGCTCTCTGCTGCTGCCGTGACGTCACACCGGCCAC